TTCGAACATGTCTAGAAGCAAGAGACCATCCCAGCTAACGAGGGAACCAATTTTAGTGCCAATACACAAGAAGGACATCGACTATGCTAACCACAGGGATATTAGCTGAACGCCAGTGTTGGCAATTCACGTTCGTCGCCTCACTACGAAACCAGAATCCCGGATTAGGGAAGTGCTAGCTGGCTTCCGTCCAGGACTTGGCTTTAGGTACCATACGTTCACTTTGTGATAGAAAGACGACGTCACACACAGCAGGCCCAGTCGATGGGTTTATTCTGTTTGGACTACTTTTGCGGAAAGGTGTTCACATGTTTCATGGGAACATTTTACGTGCACTGCTCGAACACCACAGGCCTCATCATGGTCTACAGTGATGTGTCAGATACCTACCCGACAAAAGGTGGTGTTCGTCAAGTTTGTCCAATTCCCCCATTTTTTGTTAGACTTCATCGTGGACTCCATCAGTGAGTGTTCACTTGTGGAATCCCACGATGCAGTTGTTGAGATGCTGCCTGGTGGAAAGCTACTTCATCTTGATTATGCGGACAATATTGTCTTACTTTTTAACCATCTTGGGGCGGCCAATCAATCCTGTGCAAACTCCCAACAGTGGTCCAGTCATTTGTCATGCACTTCGCACCTTTAACGTGCAAAGTTTTGTTACATGACCACTAGCCACTTAATGGCTAGGAACTCGCGGTAGTTCATCCATTCACTTACCATGGCAGCTGCATCATCAATCATAAGCGCATGACGACTGAACTCAGTTCAAGTATTGCAAGTTAGAACTTCTTCTTGAATCTGCGACATCTTTGGCGTCAGAAAGTAGTTTCCCTCGGTCTGAAGTGCCGTGAGTACAAGGCCACAGTGAGAGCCGTTCTACTCTGTGGAAGTTAGACTTAACCCCTTTGATCTGAGGACTTGCAGCGCCTTCAAGTGTTTGATTCTCGTTGTTTGTGAAACATTGCTGGTGTCGGTTGGTGCCAGCGTGTCCGCAACGATGATGTGCGTAGGCGAGCGCTAGACAGTGATAATCATGCTAGTTCCTTAGAGCAGCAGACAACATTGAATAAGTTGCGTTGGCTTGGGCACGTACTACCTATGCCTGGTCACCGCTTACCTAAGAGGGCCTTGTTTAGTCTGCCAGGTGTAGGGTGGCGCATGGTCCGAGGCGGGCAAAAGTTAACTTAGCAGTGGGAAATAAAGTCACTGATGACTAAACTGGGTGCCGTCGGTCCGTCTCGCCTTCCGGGCTCTAGTCCACGTGACCCGCCTTGTGCTTGGCTTGAGACGTTACAGGACATGGCTCGCAATCAGTACGAATTCGCTTATGCTGTCGTGTCGTAGTCGGGCTGCCTATTTAAAGTGTGTTTGGTGCTTATTTATCTGCGGGGTAATGGCTGATTATGACGCGTGGCGATGAAAGCCACAAGGATGCTCTTTCACGGATGCTCTTTGCACGGTAACCAGCTGTTTGTGACAGTATGTTGTTGACAAGGTGTAGGCGCCTTGACCCTGAATGTTTGTTTAGGGCATTAAGGTTTTACGTTGGGTCCCCTTTCTCTCTACCTTATTATTCTTCCTTAGGTCATTGCGGTTGTGCGGCAGCGAAGTATCAGTTCAAATGTCTGATGTACTACTGTTACTGATGATGCGCGTCCGAAGGTGGCCTTGCTTCTTTCTAACGTTAACACCGTTCACTTTCACGCTTCAGTTTCGTATTTTTATGGACACAGTTATGTGCGAAACGATTGAAAACAACACCAATTTTCTCAGATGAACCATAAAATAGCACATCATTTACTACATCTGGCAAGGAAGCGATCTCAATGACGTTTATGTTGGTGTTTCTTTGTCCTTCCCCATCTTCCTCTGATCATGATCTCTCTTCATGTACAGGCAGTGTGTTGCTTGTTTTTTGCATTCCATAATGTTTAGTATACTGCCTTTTCCTGTAGCCTATCTTTATGTATTGTGGCATAATAGTTGAAGTGTGTTTTTCACCTCCAGCTTGTGTGTAATGATGATGATGATGGGTATCACAGATTCTCGAACCTCCGTAACTACTCAGTTTGAATCCCTAAGCATCGCATGCGAAATTCCTCGAAAACCGCTGTCGATGTAGTTGAGAAACGAGTTTTTTTATGATTCCACTTGCCGGAACAACGCTTCGAGATTTGGTCGGATGGAATTGGGCGAAACGTGAATTAAGGTCGCATTCGCATAACGCTACATGCGTATGTCCGTTGCTTTCCTTTTCTTAGTGGTTGTTGCCTGGCTAACTCAACTTGTCGACTCGTCGATTGCATCAGCATGTTTCACTATTCTAGCTTCGCCATCGAGCTCTATACAACCACGATTCTTCTAGCTTATAACTCAACTAGTCGCCTTTCTCCTCTTTCGTCAAGTTTGGACAAACACGACGGGACACGGTTTTGGCGTGGATACGAGGAAACGAAATCATCATGACTTGGATTAGATAAACCAAGATCTGCACACATTTTACAATGGGCATCGATGTGAATTCTTCAGCCGCAGGTGATAAGATATTGGCCTCGACATTTTATCGCTACAATCATGTCTGGGTTTTGTGCGAAATCGTTTAATGTGCACTATATCACGGTATTAGGATTCCTTACTAGTGTGCTTACTATGTTTCTCATGTCCAGCGTACACGCATTTCTTATAAATATCAAGCTTTCCTAATGTTTTGGATCTGTTGGTGGCTCGTCACCGTTGACTTCGGCAGCTACCAAGGTGCTTCTTTTCTCTTCATTTATAACATACGCCACGCCATCTCTCATAGTCTTTCTCCTCAGGATATTGTGTGGTGCGGAATCTAAAAATATGTTACCCCACCGTAGCTTGAGGCCGTGGTTACTCGCTAATCAGTGGCTGTCTTCATTTACCAATGACCGGCGGTTGGGTGCGTCGGTACAACATTTAAGTGGTGGATCTCCGTGGTCTGCTTGGGTACACTTCTATCCCCTCTGACTTTGTTACGCAACTGCAGCAATCACAGCTGCTAAGGTCTCAAGCCCATCCGCTACTCTACTCGTCAACGGAATCGTTCTTGCATCCGTTTCAGTCTGTGCGCGTCTTCGTCCCTTTGTGGTGCTATTCTGGGTGGTGTAACGAGAGCTACTCCCACCAGTTTGCTCGAAGTCTAGAGCTCAAGTAAACTCAGTTTCCTGGCTCTCTGGCTTGGAAATTAGGTGGCACTCATTTCTGTGAACCTGGAGCGTTGTCTTACTCTCTCTGCCTCATAGTCAAGCTTGTGAGTGTATGAGTTTGGTTAAGGAACCTTGTCGTGCTTCTGCGTAACTTTGAACGTCTCAATAACAGCCTAATCTACATGCATCCATGTGTTTCCCATCAAACTGCAACGACTTTTTACGTCAGCCTTCGTGCGGTATTTCAACAGCATCGCTTTTTAGGGTACATGCTACCAACGCTTCTCCGCCTGCTTCTCTTGTGCCCTCGAACCTTCTTACATACTTGTGTTGCAGCGTCTCGTCCGTTCACATTACCAATCTATCACTGTTGCTGCTGTTGTACTTTTCTCCATTCAATTAAGAATAGATGGTATTGGTATTTTTCGCCTCGTATGCCATCACAAAAGGTTTCCGATTAGGCAACCAATGCGTTTTGCATCAAACAGCACCAGTTCACTGCGATTTATTGCTAACTGCACCTCGTCGGCTGTACACCCACACTAATTGGTGTGTAGAAGTTCGTCGATGTGCATTGGTACGCAGCTACCAACATGCATTTTTGCACGCACATCTGACCGGACATTTGAACCGCCGGCTGCTCCTTCCACTAATTGATGGCTGAATCTTGTTCATCGTAACCTGTGTTGTGTGTTTCTCCGGCATCATGCGTGAAAAAATCCACTTGCTCTTAAACGATCGATTTGTCGGGTAAGATGAGCTGATAAACACGGTGCCTTCTGTAGTCGGCACACGACAACCATAAATCACGGAACCGCTGTGCTGCGGGAGCTTACCATTGATTTCGCGAATCGCGCTCACCAGTTCGTTGATGGAAGGCATTTCGGTGACACCGCTTCGGTGGACAACAAGCTAGCCTCAACTCCAAACTGCGCTGTCGTCACACGTGGATGTGACTCGTCACTAAATAAAGTCACTGCCCTTTGCATCATACTGGTAAGTCTCCCTACACCACTCACAACTAATTCTGATGCGTACGCTTTCGCACATATTTACACACCCTCCTTAAGTATATTTGAACTCTCATAATCAATACAGCACTATGTTGCCTCTCACAAGCACACTTTACATTTTTACGTTTTTGCTTGTAATTTACCCTAAACTTAACGAAACGTCATTGGTGGTACAATTTTGATCATGCTTGATATGGCGTGCCTCAAAACATTCGGGAATAAAATTTTATTTATTTATATTTTATACAAGCTCCCTCTATGTGAACCTGTTGTTTTAATTGGCTCAGGTTTATCGATGATGTTGCTTCTTCTTTGTGACGGTTTTTCTGCAAACGCGTGTATGCATTTTGCATTTTATACCCCTTCTCAACAAATTGCAACCATATTGCTTTCAACTTCCTCCTTAAATAAATCTTTCCCCATTTATCTTTCAAATTGATCCTTAACGCTATCACATTGCATCCAATAAGTGCAAACACTTCTAAAAATGCTTACTGTTCATTGAGGGACCAATCCCAAATAGGCCGATGGTATAAAAGATGCTATTGGCTTATTTGCGATTTGTCACTCAATGAACAGTCTCATTTAGGAGCATTCGCGCCCGTTGGATGCAATCTTATAGTGTTAAGGATCATATTAAGAGAATTTATGGAGGGACGTAGTTTCCTTAAGGATGAATCTGAAGGCGTTATGGAGGCAGTCGACCGAGAAATAGTGTTGTTTGCGTTAAGTTGCATCCGGTACGTCCGTAGATCTCCGCCTGTCTCACTACATTGACCTCATGATCGTTTTCCCTTGTGCCCATTCTCTTCAGACAATTCTCCCCGCACAATTCAAGGCTCTCACCCCCCATCAGCAACAAGCTTTGCTCGTTCAGGCGCTACAGCTCAAACAACTGCAGCAACAACAATTACAGCAGCAGCAACAGCGCTTTCTCTCCCCCGTTGCCACGGAACAGTCTCTGTTGCAAGCCCAACTGGCCGCCATTATTCAACAGCGCCAACAACAATTTACTCAGGCCCAGCTGCAGCACCATCATCAGCAAGCTGTTGCCGCCTCAGCTATTGCTGCTGCACAGGCACAACGACAACAACAGCAGCAGCAACAGACACAGGACGTTCTTGGAAAATAGGTTTACAGATTTTGCAACCTGCGCACGTGTGTACATAGCGTTCTTTTGATTGCTTTCTCCTCGTGTATAGTGTAAGGTTCTTGCGAAATCCAGTCCATAGCTTTTATTGAGTTGTCTATTTTTCTCGCATTTCCATTTGGGCCTATCGGATACCTGGAGCCGTTGTGGTCTGTTCGCCATTGCATCCTCTCATGAAGATTTCCAGTTGTCTGTACTTCGGCGATGCAGCGCCGTTGTTTGGTATCATTTGCATGTCTACATCATGCTACTGTTACTCATGACTCGGTGGGGCCTTGTGGTTAAAAGATTGATAAAGCATCTAATGGCTACCGCTTGAGGTCTACTGTTGTTGCATTCGTATGCAGTACCACGCGGGTATTCGTTCCCAGTTCTCTACTGCAGAGCGGTGACTCCCTGAATCGAATCCGATTCTTCGTTCGCATTACTACAGTTGACCAGCACGAATAAACTCGCGGGTTGGTGACTATCGGGTCCAACCTTAAGCACCGTGGATTGCCACTCTTAGGCTATAACCATTCCGCGAAAACACGGAATAGTCCATTCGAACTCCAATATAGCATCCCGTTCTATTTTTACACTCGTTTCTTCGCGACGCGCTTACCAATCCGCGTTGCTGCATACAGCGATCTTTGGTTTGCAGCTCGTCTACTGATATCGAATAACTTATTTTATGTATATCTGCTATTAATTGCGCCAGAGCATACATTTTGATGGTCGCATACGCTTATTTATAGTGATCCAAAGGTTACGTTTTCATTGATCGTCGAATTGTTCGAATGAAGCAGATAACCGTTATTGGCGTTCTATACCGGTAATACATCACGTCTCGATTCGCATTACCAGGTTGAATGGCAAGCAAAGAAAAATTCGGATATAGTATCAATACTTTAAGCATTCCACTAGGGTGTTGTACGATCTAACCTAAGCAGATATATGTCCTTGATTGCCTCAGTCAGCTTGGAGATGCATCGGACTCAAATAGGTCAAGCCATACTTATCTTTTTGTGCGCCGCGTTTTTCTTTCCAGTAGGTTGTTTTTCACCCCTAAGGACGAGGCTGACAACCGCTTAAAGTGCTTCTCCTTCTACGGATTTGTTGCTATTTGTCTTCTACTCACTTTACGGTAAGTGGCCATCGGCCACTTTCGGAAAAAAGGAAAAGAATCCAATGGTTGACGGATTTTATAGTTACTATGGGGAGAGTATTATTTGACATCCGACAAGTTGAAACGTTCGTTTGCACCTTGGTTATGAAGAGCCGCTGTTTGGTGCCCAGGAGTTAGTGCGCAGGTAGGTCGAACGAGGCGAAACTCTTAAAGTGCTCCACTGCGAATTCAACCACATTCTCCGGTTTGTGCATCAGAACCGCCTGTAGGAAATCAGCCAGCATGTCCTTCACCAGTGGATTATTGCGGAGGTAAAGCAGGTAATCAGCCTTTATGGCTTCCTAAAATGGAAGCAAAACCACATTCTGAGCTTGCTTAATGGAACGCACTGCTACCTCTAGTCTAGTAGAGTGTAGCACATGGTGAGCTTGTTTTTTCGTGGATGTTCGCCATAGCCGGACTCAATCAAACGGCTAACATCCGGGAGAGCTCTAGACACCAGTTTCGTCCTATTTGGACTTGTCAGTAGTACGCGACTAATGTTGCAGACTCTCTCGAAGGAATAAGACCGGGAGGCATGTGGATGGGAGGCACTTTTCATCATAGGCATTTGACCTGGCTACATTGACATCAAATTGCAACCCACAATACTTCACGGTGTCACACGAGATGAAATGTGATATGATCCATCTGCCAAGTGGGGATGTAACGAGACACGAACAGATGTTAGCGTTACCTGTACTTTGGACGAGTCTCAGTTAGACATCGCGCGCGTGTGAACATGCGATCAGTCTGGCAAGCTGAAATGTGACGCTTAAAAATGTTTCTACAGAGATTCCACTTAGTCATTCAATATGGTGACGAGCACCGCCCGTTGCGAGTAGATATATCAGTTGATATACCAAAGGTCCCTGATCCGAGTTGCAGTGTTGCGAGTGGGCATTTATTCACATTTGTATGCAGACTACCACAAACTGAATGAAGAAACAGTAATCCTCATGGACAATAACACCATGGACGTGCATGCGTTTGGATTGAATGTAAGTATAGCAACCATATTCCTCCAGTTTTTGGCAAATTGCACGTACAATTATAGACAACCAAGACGACTGTCGGTGGTTAGTTAACGTTTAGACGTGAACCTTGATGGCAGCCTTACATTTAGTCAGAAGTGTGTGCATCAACAATAAATAGACGTAGATAGAGGAATAGGAAAACAAATGTCATCAATGCGGTTCCAAGATGGAATGATGCGCACACAGGAGATACAGTAAAACAGTGATGACTTATCGCTAGTGTATATTATAGGTGCCATCTGTTATATGTGAACTTGGGTTTACAGAGCTGATGGTGGTCGCACAGCATATGAATGAGACGGGGTGTTAGCTGCAATCTGCGTGTCCTCGCCGCCTAAGACTGGATCGATCCGATCGTTTCATGTCCGAGGTATGCGGATTCCCGAGGGACGTTCGTTGCTCGAACTTAAGCGTTCGAATGCGGTAGTATCACACATTCGTTGATAGCCTCTTTGACGCGACCAGAGCGATAATACATCAAGTAAATCCCACTGCTCCCTGTCCAACACTCGGCTTTCGAAAAAGTGTTCCAACTGTTTTAGCAAATTTCTAAGAAGTAGCTTGGCTATCCTCCAATTACTCAACCGCAGGCAGATGTAGCTGTATACACAACTGGCCATAATTTACTTCATAACAATCTGTCATCATACTTATCGGTTGCAGCCATTCCGCGCTACAAATCAGTTGTTTCCGTGCGCTGATTTCTGTTTCGATGAAATATTCTAAGGCACTACCGTACCATCACAGTTGAACTAACCTACTTCCAAGCCAATCTAGATTATTGCCGATTTCTAATTCCAATTCTTGCAGGTGTCTTTGCCATTCCGCCTTGATAAGAACTGCCTTTACCTAAGCGCACCTAAGTTCCGTATGACGGATGAACAACAAGAAATAGAGCTACATTCAATCCCATGACTAACATGTGGAGCAGAACATGTAGTATCGGCATCATAAAAATCGTTAGATACTCACCGAGAATGTTCACTTGACACGAATGAGCCGATGTGCAAACGCTCCCTACTAATCTAATAGTCTACGATCGCTTTAGCAGCTTGTCGTCCCGATTAGTGGCGACTTTCAGATGGTGTTTTAGCTCCATGGGGTCAACTTTACAACATGACAATGTAGGATGATCCGCCCTGTATGTCGGTCCACCACTGTCATCTATGGCTCAGTGGCTCGAGTCCCTAGCTTCTAAGACTGCGGTCATGGGTTCGGATGCACGCTACTTACCAGCCGTGATAGATCGAATCGGTCATCTATCGCTTTTCCAGACGTTTGGCTGTTGTGACGAACATATCTCCAGTCTGTTTACCAGGGAAAGGTGCCATCGGTCACAGATTTGCACAGAACTATGAGGGGGTATTTACATTCCTAGTTCAAATGGCCCAGTGTATGCCGTGGGTAGTCTCGTTAGAACACACTGAAACGATACAACCCTTGCGATCTTGATAAAATTGCTCAAAAAGCTATTCAGCGGTGGTCGTGAGGTGATAATAGTCCGACTAATAATCTGTGATCTGGGTAAAAAAGTATAAAAGATCCGCTTGCGTTATACCGCCTTGCTATATGTATATATATATATATATATATATATATATATATATATATATATATATATATATATATGATATTTTAGGGCTCATGTGCAACATTTTTCACACCATTTCGCAACACCTGATCACATTTAAACCATTAAAGTTGCACCTCTTGACGGGAGTAGCGATTAGTAGTCTGATAAATGCGCCACTTATGTTGAGAGATGGACAACTTTCTGTGCATCGATATACTAAGTTTTGTGCGAGACTCTTGCTCCCGTGCAACTGGATCATCGTATTGTCAGAGTTAAGTGAGAACACCCATTTTTATTTTGGTGGGAACTATTCGGCCTACACAACACAAGAGCGTAACAAACTATGTATTAGGTCTCCGGTCACCATGTAATGTATTCAATCATATCGGCCTTACCGTCATTGGTAGGACAGAGCACTAGGGCTCACCGTTCATCCCTTTCACTTTACTTATTTCTACGTTCTTTTAAAAAATGAGTCATATACCATTAGATATTACGACAGACTTTCCTCTTCGTTTGCTGTCGCCAGAGGCGTTCGCCAAGGTTGCCTTGTTTCACCCTTCTTCATCAATTTTGTCATCGGATATGTCGTGCAACGAGCGCTAGGTGTCAAAAATTGTGGTGTTGAGCTTCTTTTGGCGCCAGAATCGCAGACCTGGACTACGCTGGTGACATCACTTCGTTGGGTGAGGATTTGCAAACCGTCCAAAACACATTGAACCGCTTAGCGTTTGAGGCACCCAATTACGGCTTGTATTTCACCCTAGCCAGATGTAAAGTGCTATTCCAAAATTCGCAACGGTCTGTGGCCGCGCTCACCATTGCTGGTGAAAACTGGATTGCTTCACTCATCTAGGACGTTGCATCACGGCTAGTGGCGGTGTTGGAGATGAGGATTTACAGCGCATTGCAAAACCACGCCTTGCTTTCATCCAGTAGTAAATGGTCAGCTGAGTGTGGGGAAACCGCAGCTTCGTTACCAGGACATGGTCAAAGTGAGCCTTTCACATGCTAAACTTGATTGCAGGTCCTGGGAACCGAAGTCGCTTGATCGGCGTACATGGCGCAATCTGATCACGAAGGCAGTTTCCGAGGTGCGGGAGAAAGTCCTCGTGCATGCAAAGAAGAAGCGGCAGGCGCCGAGGGGTTGCACTCCATCGACATCAAGCGCATGCGGTCTCGAGTGCCTGAGTCAAGCAGGCCAAGTGAGCCCTGACCCATATATATATATATATATATATATATATATATATATATATATGCACGAGAGCAAGTCTCGCACAAAACTTAGTATATCGCTGCACAGAAAGTTGTCCATCTCTCAACATAAGTGGCGCATTTATCAGACTACTAATTGCTACTCCCATCAAGAGGTGCCACTTTAATGGTTTAAATGTGATCAGGTGGCGCGAAATGATGTGCAAAATGTTGCACATGAGCCCTAAAATATCATCGGACTGACCATACATTTTTATGTTCCGCAGCCTAGGGAATACATTGGAACGTTGTATTTAATGGGAATAAAAGCTCGAGCTTTACATAGCCTAGAAGGTAAAAATTAGTTTGGGTCATCAAAATCCGTAGAATCGCTGGTATCGTAATACGGGAGCGAGACACTGTTTTTGCATGCTAACTTCTCTTTTATCACTCTCAATGTCTGTGGTATTAAGCATATGAATCAAGGCAATTCCGCATGCAGGTACTTGTTCCGATCGCGAGTCATATCTAGGAGCGTTTCGAGCCATCTGCAATCCTCGTCCTTGGGCCCCCATCCAACAAGACGTACGGGTTCAACGGCGACTAGACGTGACTTCAGCGCTTTCATGTGAGGTTGCCAAGTGGAAGCCTAACCACCACGCGGTCGTCTCCAGCCCGATCCTTCACGAGCAAATAGGGTGCGGTGCGTTAAATGCTCAGGCATCGTGCGTAGGCCGTGACCGAGCCAACTCAACTGGCGCATCAATACTAGCTTAGTAAAAGGAATACTCGTATTCCTCAGGATACGATGACTAACGTCCTCACTGTGTTTTGCCACCAGACGATCCTCCTCATCCATCCATTGTCAAGGGCGGCACGTCGTCCATGCCAATTGGCGAAGACTCACTAGCTCACAACAACACTGAGCAAAGTAGGAGCCGTAAATCCGAACCCTTACTCCAGATCATACATTCTGATTAAACTGCCGTTGTACTTCGCAAATTCCAGCGCCTTAGCAGTCAATCTTTGGGGTGTTGATCGCAACCCGCTCCTAATTATCTCCATATATACCGGAAGCCAACACGGTCGGGCCAATACTTGCACTTCACCCGCTTATCACCGAAGGCACACAAACGCTCGCTGGGAAAAACATTGTTCACTCGCGCCAGACGTATCTGCTCGAACAACTGTCTGGCTGAGGAAGTTGAGCTAATCACTAAAACCCTTAGGGAGAGGGGTTACCCGAAGCGATTCATAGAAAAACAAAGCCAGGTTAGGCCACCTAAAGAAACGATGTTGGCGGCACCACAGGAAATGTATACATCGAGCTACCATTTAAGGGTGACACCGTTGCAAGAAGGACAACTAAACACAGTTTCGGCCATTCAGCGTACGTACTGTGCTGTGGGAGCGGTAATTTTCAACCAAACCTGAAAGTTGCCCTTACCTTCATTAAAGGAAAATGAACCTATCGGCGCCAAATCGCATTGTGTTT